CCGCCTCTCGCAGGCGGTACGGCATGCGCACCCCCCCCGCCCCTCGCAGGCGGTACGGCATGCGCACCCCCCACTATTAATGAGTTTGTGCTCATTAACCACTGTTTGAAAGTGTAGCTCATTAATGTCCAGAAATTTCCACATGAAAGATCTGATGTCTGCAGTGGTCACCAGGGCTCGGGGTTTAGGGGGCACGGCTTACTTGGGGCATCGCCGTGGCAACGTTAAGAGGCACCATGACAGCGTCAGAGTCTGGGAAGGACAAAGACAAACGGAACGGCTGGCAGTGCCGTGCCTGGACACGGGCCCCAGGCGGCACAAGTGGGAGCAGCGGGATCAGGGAGCAGCGGGATCAGGGAGCAGCGGGATCAGGGAGCAGCGGGATCAGGGAGCAGCGGGACCTGGGAGCAGCGGGATCTGGGAGCAGCGGGAGGCAGGACCAAGACATCTGATCGGTTGGTCCCTTCCTTCTGTAATTGCTTGGACCCACGCCCTCTACAATCTGATCATTTTTCCTTCTGCCCTCAGAACATTTTTGCATAAATAAAACTCCCATGAGCAAATAGGAGCAGGCAGTTAATGGCCTTTACACTGCAGACCTCGAAAGGAGAAATCCGTGTTCAGCGAATCAGGACCCATCAGTTTCCATCACTGTAGGGCTAAGGAGGGATTATGCAGAGGGCTGCCACATTACAGATCGAGCAATCTGCCCAGGACACGAGCGCGCACACTCGGAGGAAGTGCCCCCCCCCCACACACACACCCCCCCACACCTCGGAGTGGAATCCAGGTTCCCATTTCACATACATGGGGGGGGTTTGATGTTCCCGCGCTTCTCGCAGCACCTTTACACCCCCAGACCCAGGCAGCTGCAGTGCTGAGCTTCTTAATGACACAAAGGAGAGCGGGGGCTTCGGGGGGAGGCAGCCCACCGCTCTGCTGCTTAGCACGCGCTTTTAAATAAGGCCACTCGCGTGACACTGCTGCCTCTCCACTGAAAATAAAGCAGGTCAGTCGACGATTAGTCTGGGGTCTTTCAGCTGCAAGTGCAGGTCTTCGCCAAACCTCTGCCTGGTCTCCTGTGACTCAGGCTTGCCAACAGCGGAGTCATTCCAGACACCAGAGAAGGTCTCAGGGAGGAGATCTCAGCTCTGAGCCCGTGCTGCCCAGAAATGGGGCCCAGGCACACAGGGAAGGTGATAGAAGAGATTACGTCTCTTGACCCCGTGTCCCATAGGTCAGCGCCTCCGTCAGGCCCCCACGGATGGACTTTAGAAGGCGGGGGTCCACGATGAGTATCAGGTGACATCATCACGGCTTCAGTGATGGCCGCCACGAAAGCCCGAAGAGCCGGTGGCTTCTGATGAGAGAGCTTCCATTAGAGTGAGCCGCATTCCTGCATAATTCACAGGTGCGGCTGATGCAAGGGGCTCGACGCGCAGAGCTCAGCCCATCCTGCTGATGATTAATGCAACACTATTCTCTTTGATTCAGGCCCAATCGAACCCTTCATGAGGACGCCTCGCGCTTGGTGCGGGAACGCACTGGGAATATTCCACACATCCCGCGTGTCCGGAGAACTCAAAAAACCCTTCAGCCGCGTTGTAATGCCCGATAGTTCAGGAGTTCAATCATCACTAATAGCCTGAACTGGGCCAGTGGGATCCCATCTTCACTGCTGCTCAGCAAGCAACAAGCCCCTCTGTGAGTCCTGCAGGCGCAGTGAGGACACGTACGAAGGCGGGTTACTGTGGGCTACAGCCAAGAAAAGGCAAACAGGCATCTATCTGCCAATGCAGACCCCATTACAAGCTTCCCCGGCACAAAGAGACAGTCACGCGGGGACAGGAGGGAGGCCTTGCTGGCTGAGGGACACGGAGCACGTCGCCACGCCAGGGATGGGGGTGGAACCGTCAGCCGCTGCCCGATAAAGACGAACCACTCATTAAAAAGACATTTTAAATCTGTGGCTGGCACTTTTTGGCTTTGATTCCGTTTCTATCTTTACAGACGATGAGAGTATTATGCATTTTATAAAAGGGGCCGCGGACGATTTTCAACTCCAGTTGGGCCCAAAAGCACATGGCGGCCAGCAGGAAGCTCACAGGAGCGCCACTGCGATCTGCGGCATGCCTGCGAGGGGGCGAAGGTCGGGCCGAGCCCCCCCCCTCCATCCACTGTGGGCAAAGGGCTGCCCCTCCACACCGCGCCACCTACATTACTAAGTGGCAGGCGACAAGTTAGCCAATCAGAAAGGCCGGCATCCAGGTCAGAGTGCAGGCTGAGAGGGTCACCCCCAGGTCCAGGCCCCCCCAGGACTGGGCCACCAGCCACCCTCAGGCACGCTCCGGGTGGATAATCTGCCCACGCTGAGGGCTCCAGGGCGATGCCAAGTCGCCCTGGTAACAGGCCACGCCCTGTAAATCAGTGCCAATGGCCGGATTCACCGAGAGATCCTTTCACCTTCAACGCGTCGTTAAAGAATTTGGAAAAGCAGAATAGTCAGTGACACTGTAAACCTGGAACAATAATCCGCCTTAATTAGCAAAACAAGGCCACGCTGGAAAGTCATTATCTTTTAACAGCATATTAATCCTGCTGATGCTCGTCATCCCGGCAGATTAATTACCACGCTATCAAGAGCGAATGAATAAAACTATTACGCTAAAAGCGGCTATGGCGGCTGCATGCTAGCGGCTTTAGCGGGCTAACTCTTACAGCCGTGCTTGTTACGGTAATTAAATCAGACCCCCACATTGTTAAAACGTAACTGCATTTGGGGTGCCAGCTGGTGCCAGTGGTTCCCCGTGGAGGGCTTCGCTTGCCAGCCCCAGGGGGGGGGCCTCTCCAACAAATAACCCAGAGCAAAGATGCACGGATACAGAGGTGCTGACCGCCAACCCTCAGACCTGTGGCTCGACCACCAGCCAGAGAAACACGGTACATTGGAATGGAGTCACTTTCATCTCGCTCTCCTTCTTAAGACACACAGATGTAGACGTAATAATGAAGCACAGGGTCAGGCTATTCATCCTGCATTTGGGGGGGGTTTCAGGACCTTCCTGAAGGGCCTATGGAGATGTGACACAGAGGCCTAACCCTAACCCGCGACTATACGCCACTTACTGACGATGCCGATGAGCACAACAGTCTCTAGGGTCTGTGCGATTGCAAACTATTAAAACAAACTGCGATTAATGACGCCGGATGATTTATAAATCACTGCTCTGCAAAAACCACCTGCAAGGCCATTAAAACAGAGCATTCACAAGTGTCACATATGAAGGCCGGTGCGTGTAATCATGAGAAAAGCTTCAGGGTTAATTAGGAGAAGCGTATTTGTGGGACAGAGTGCCAGACAGAAGATTCTGCAGAAAGGCATCTATCTGGAGAAAGACCCAATTATGATTACTAAAAAAAATGAGATTATGTGGACGTGTTGTAGCTTAAACGACAGGCACACGGGCCCTCATTTCCAGAAGCTTCTGCAGGTGTTGTTTGTTTGCTGGAATCGGCTTAGGACCGGTGAAAGGCACATAGAGAAAATAAAAACACTGAACAGGGCTGCACCTTACCTCGTATTCCGTGGCCTCGACGAGCAGCTTGGCTGTGGTGATCCTCGACTCGTAGGGTGGCATGGCGTTCTGCAGGAAAAAGGAAGGAATGTCCATCACACAACTGGAGAAACTGGCCAGTAGACAGAACTACCAAACCCCACCACAGTCACGCACGCGCACGCACACACACACGCCCCTGGGCTACCAAACCCCACCACAGTGACATCCACCTGCCTCTTATACACAGTATTAATAAAGAGCTGCTTAATGCGTCACTTAAAAAAAATACCAACACACTCTACGTATGGAAAGGAAAACAGTCCTTCTCACTGCCAAATGTGCATATGGGAATCCGAATGTGTGAAGCATGGAGGCTGCGGTTTGGCTGCCCGTTCCGTGTTCTAACCAAGACAATAGGTGTAAAATACTAACAGCAAATCCAACAGCAGACCAGCAAACACAGTGAGGTAACTGATCCCAGCGAGAGATCTTAAGGTCCTTCAACAATAAACCAACAAAAATCAACAGGAATTACTGATTCTCGATCAGAAACAATACACTAATATTTTATTCTAGAATTTATTTATTTATATATATATATATATATAAAAACATAAATATATTTAGTCATGTGGAAATTGTATTCCAGACTCAATGTCATTTAATGCCTTAATTTCTGTTAAACTGATTCAGCAGTTAATCGTACTTTTTAATGACCCACAGATAAAGTGGTTTAGGGGAGAGGAAAGAATCCCAAAGAGGTGCCTTTGGAAACTCGCTTTCGGCCCGTTATGCATTATGTAAAAAATAAGACACTGATGGGGTAATTAGACGTTCTGCATCATTGCATCACATTAACTGTGACCTGAGATAAACAGCAGGAAAATGACCAAGAAAATGACCAAGAAAAATTCAAATTCAAGTCACCTCGCTCGCCAAGCTCGACTGCTTAGCTTTCCTGAGAGCAGTGTCACAGCCTGCGACAGCAAACGTGCACATGTCACAGAACGGGTCACTCAGAGTGACCCCAAACTGGACTCTTCCATTTCCTTCCAATTAGCCACCATTTATGGCAGCAGGTCGGCTGGTTTTCTCGCCGACGGCTCACTTAGGAGGACACCGACTTCTGGGTGCTTATCATTTTGCGGCACAGAAGGGATTTTTACTTTTGAAAGGTCAAGCTACAGGATACACAAAGAAAATAGAAAAGACTAAAGCCGTTTATCTCCACTGTTATTTTTCTTTTTTTTTTG